CAACGAGGCCACTCACCCAAGTCGGTCAGCAGGTAGGTCAGCCAGCGGAGCTCCTGTGCAGCCATAGCCCCAGCGTAGATCTCGGCCTCACAGTTGAAACTAAGTACAGAAGATGAGCGAATGGACCTCCACGAGACAGAACCAGTGAAGAGTCTGAAACTGTATCCTGTGTCGACCGGTAAGTTGTCTGGTCGTCAGCCCAAGAAGAAACTGAGCGACCAGTGAGAACAACTAGATCGGGTCCTCCAAGCACGAGCCCCAAGCCTGATGTACTGCACAAGTAACGCAATACCCTCTTCGCAGCTTCCCTGTGCACCTTTCGGTGTCTACCGGGAGCCACGTCACGAGCCATGAGGCTGGAGGGTATGCGAGGTCAGGTCGTGTGCACGTCATCAGGTACATGAGGCAACCCACAAGCTTTGGGTAATGACCACTCAGCTCTACGGACTCGTCCGAAGGTGAAGCTGAGAGCGAGTGGCCGGTAGACAAAGGAGTGGGCTGTGGAGAGGACCACGAGAAGTCGAAGCGCTGAAGGACCTGCTGCACCATGTGTGACTGAGTGAGGGTGATGGTGCGAGGTGCTCTGTCCCGGGTGATTTGCAAGCCAAGATAGCTCCACAGCTCACCCAGGTCAGCGCATGTGTGTGTCTCCTGTAGCTCCGCCTTCACTAATGCCAGAATCTCGGTATCAGCAGTAGCAAAAACCAAGTCGCCAACGTAGGGAGAGAAGTGTCTGTGCGTAGAAACAGCGAAGGGTCAGTAGTCGAGAGAGCGAAGCCAAGAGCCGCAAGTGTAGTTCTCAGTGTGTCGTGCCACTCTCGGGGTGCGTGTCGTAGGCCGTAGAATGGTCGCTGAAGACTCCACTGGGTACCCTCAGGAAACGACCCAGTGAAGCCACGTGGGCGGCGCAACCAGAGCCTCGTGAAGGCTGCCCAGGAGGAAGGCTCTCGAGCAATCAAAGGAGTGCAGCTCATAGTCGCGCTGTGTTGCAACGTGTAGTAGCACCCGAAGAGTGGTCATCTTCAGGGTGGGGGAGAAGGTCTGGAAGTAGTGGACCCCCTCACGCTGATTGAGGCCTCGTGCAACGTAACGCTCCTTGAAGGCAGGCGGAGAACCCGGCGGCCGCTTCACCCTGAAAATCCATATGCCATCGACTATGTTCGCCCCAGGTGGGGGAACCTCGTCAACATAGGTGCCTGTGGACTTCCAGGAAGCCATCTTTGCATCCATGGCTATCTGCCACTAAGAGGAGTACGGACCCGTAATCGCCTCTGCGTAAGTGCACTGGGTCGGGATGTCTAGTGCATCCGGGTCTCCCTCAAGGCAAAGTAGCGTGGATTCGAGATGAGGTGCAGTGGCCGCTAAGCACTCGAGCTCAAACTACCTGTCCTCAAGAACGTCACAGCCAAGGGCAAGCTCATCCCCAACGGACGGAGGATAGGAAGAGTAAAAAACAAGACTCGCAGCGTAGTCAAGGCGACACAAAGCAGCAAAGTCCACAAGCTCAGCAACTAAGGCAGACGCAGCAGCAGAATCAAAGGAAGGGTCAGTCACAACCATGGCAAGGAGACGAGTGACAGTCGGACTAGCAATACGGACAAGGTCGGACTCAGGGTCAGGAACGTGAGGAAGAGAAGACGCAGGAGGAGACGGCAGGACAACACACTGTGGAACAGAGGAAGGACGAAGTGCCATGAGTATGTGCCAGGGACAGGTGGAGGACGAGGACACACAGCACGGCGAAAACGGACAGGCGTGACAGGACGCGACGCAAGCTCTCTACGCTCAGTGAAGAACTCTGTCACTGTAGAGTGAGGATCAGGAGTAGGCAGTGGGGAGCCAGGCAGTAGCTGTGGCTGAGACTTGACAGTCGGTGGGAACAGTAACGGAGGAGTAGAACCAGTAACCGGGAACTCAGTAGCAGCAGGCGGGAGACTGAGAAGGTGACGAAGCGCAGACTGTTGCGGCTGAGTAGTCACACCCCCAGAAACTCCAACTCTAGTAGCAATAGCACCCCCAGAAACAGTACCTCCAGCTCCACCCCCGGGACTGCCCCAACGGACAGCCCACTCGTGAAGCTACTGCGGCGAGAGCGAATCCTGTCGACTAGCACCACCAACTCCAGTACCTCCAGCAGCACCTCCAGAGTCAGCACCGCCAGTACCCCCAACTCGCGGAACAACGACACGAGCACCTAGAGGGCAGCACCTCCAGTACCTCCAGCAGTACATGTGCCTCCAGTACCAATACCTCCAGCACGGCCAACTCCAGGAACACCAGCACTAGCACCTCCAGGGCCAGCACCTCCAGAACCTCCAATAGCACCGGTGCCTCCAGTATGGCCAACTCCAAGAACACCAGCACTAGCACCTCCAGGGCCTGCACCTCCAGCACCAACAGTCCCAGTACCTCCTGCTCAAAGACGGCTAGCTCTACCATTAGGGCTGCCCCACTGGACAGCCCACTCGTGAAGCCTCTTCGGCGAGAGAGCCTCCTGCCGACTCGTACCAGGGCCACCAGCACCAGCACCTACGGTAACTCATGTGCCCAGAGGACACTCAGCACCCCCAGAACCAGCACCCCCAGAACCAGCACCCCCAGAGTCCGCACCCCCAGTGGCACCACCACCTGCAGCACCAGAGTCCACAGCGACAGGCTGCAACGGCGGTGAAGACGGTCGAGGCGGAAACCCAGGAGGGACCGCCAAGCGCACGGAGCGACAAGGGGTCACGGTGACAGCAGGAGTCGGGTCACCCCTCACAACTGGGCCAGAGGTGTCAGAGGAGACCTATTCTGGCTCAACCAAGGGGGACGGGTCGACCTGAGACACACCAGAGGGAGCAGATTGTGGAGGAGTATGATTCTTTTGAGAATGAGACTTGAGAGTTGTGTGAGCTGCGTCCTAAGAAGAATGCCATTCCCTCTGATTGCCCCGCAACCCAGCCGTCGCCCGTTTTTCCACTGTTGACTGCCGCCCCACCTGTTCCCGCAGCCCCAACGTAGCCGCACGCAGCCGTAACCGCACACATGGGAGCTCGCGCAACCGCACGTGCACCCGCACGCAGCCACACGAGCAGCCACGCTCGACGGCCCGCAGAGCAGCACGCGCAGCCGCAGGCTCGAACGCATACGCAGCAGCTTGTGTAGCCCGCACACTGCCCCACGTCGCCCGTGTAGCCCCACTCAGAATCAGACGCCCCACCCGGTACTGTCCAACGTGTAGAGCCGCACCGAAACGGACAGAACCGCACAGAATTGTACCTGCAGCCTCACCCGTTCCAGTCACTTCATTCTGAATCAGCCGCCCCACCCGGTACTCTCCACGTGCAAAACCGCATAGAAGCGCGCAAAACTGCACTAAACCGCGCACAACCGCACAGGACCGCACAGAACTGCGCAGAACCGCACTGAACCGCCCAGAACCGTACGGACCGCACATAACCGCACACTACAGCTCCCCTAGTGGCCCCTCCTTCTTCCAGTACCGTGTTCGGAACGCCAGCCTCTCTGTCCACGTGCAGATGGTCATGCCCACCGCAAACACCAGCTCTATGCCCACTAACACGTCAAAATCCTCGGACTCAGAGATGCCACACTTCATTATGATCTTGGCTTCATGCTCCCCTCCTGGCAGTAGTGTCACCTCTATGGGTGCCCGAGAACAGGGCATCCACTTTGGCTCCCCCCCTTCTGCTGTCGTCACCAACATCCCCCTTTTCATATGCCTTTATGGAGCCAAGAGCCTCAGCTTCTCAGCCAGCCCTTTGCCTAGCATCACGCTCTGTGCCCCCGTGTCTATGATGGCAATCTTTACCTTCTCTCCTTCCACTTCCATAGCTCCCTCTTCCAGCAGCGACACTGAGGTCTGACACGCCAGCCTCTCCAGTGGATGGCATGCTGGCGGCGGAACCAACCCTGGACCCTCTGGTTTCTGCCCCTTCTCCCGGACCTTCCTGCTCTGCTCCTGCTTGCCGTCCTTCTCTTCGCTCCTAAGCCCCATTTCCTCTCTTCCCCTCCATGCCATGAGTGCGCACTGTACGTCCTGCTCCACCTCCTCTCCCTCCTTGTCTCTTGCATACATCCCTGCCTCTGCCTTCCATCTTGGTCCCGTTGCCCGTAGCTGCGTCTGCAGACTGCTAATCTGTCGCTGCAACTCTTCCGCGCTCCTCCTGGCTCCTCCTTCCCTGTGATAGCAGTCCTTGGCCTCGTGCCCCTTCATCTTGCACACCTTGCACCTGGCGGCATCAGGACACTCTCGCTTGCGGTGGCCCGGCTTCTCGCACCCATCACAGTTCTTGCAATCTCTGCGGAGGTGCCCTGGCTGTCCACAGCGGTGGCAGCTCCTGGTTTCTTCCCGTGCCTCTCCTCGCTCCTCGACCTTCCCTCGTTCCTCTGGTATAATGGCTGCCACCCAGGTTGGCCTGCGGGCTCTCTCCAACTGTCTGGGTAGGTATGCCTCATACTTCCTATGTGCGAGCTCCACTCTTTTGGCTAGCTCGAATAACTCCTCCAGTCTTGCCTCCGCGCCCAGCTCATACACCTTCATCCGCAGCCCGCCTCCCAGTGCCTCGTCCAGCCCTCCCAGGAACTTACTGATCAGGAAGCTACTACTCATGCACCTCACATCCTCAGCTACGTTGATCAGCCGATTGTAGTACGCCAGTAGTGATTCTGCCCTTCCTCACTTGAATTCCTGAAACTCCCTTATCCTTTCCGCCGTGTGCCCTGGGAACTGCCGCTGCAACCGTTCCAAGAACGCTTCGGTTGGATTTTCCCCATACCTCCTTGCCCTCCACAGTAGCTCCTCCATCCTCATACGGTACAGAGTCTCGGCTTCCCCATCCAAGGTATTTGGCAGGCTCAAGAAGAAGTCTATGGGGTCCATGCCATTCCGATCGCACCGATACTTCACATTCCCCACTTGCATCAGGTAGTTCTTGAGCGACGGCCCCGCCTGCTGATCGCCTGAGAACCTGGCCGGCACCTCTACCCTTGTCGCCATGGCTGCGCCCCCTCTTCCCTCTCCCTACGACTCACTCACCTCTCCCCGCGGTCTCCCATTCCCCCCCTTTTGCCCAGCTCGTTCCAGGCCCTCTCTGGCCATTCGTGCACGCTCAGCCCCCTGCGCCAAGCTGCCAGTCCTGGCCCTGCTCTCCAGCTGCTCTCCGCGCGTCTCTCCTGAGTGTTCCCACTGACCCTCCTCCCTTCCTGCCCGTTCCCATCGCCGTGCCGACGAGTAGTGACTCTGCTCCCATTCCCTCAGGCCGGCTTCACGCGGCTGACGACTCGCTGGTTGTGGCGACCACTCCTCCCTTTCCTCGCCCTGCTGTCGTATGCCATGCGGCGAGCGGCCTGCTTCCTCCCGCCTACCCCCTCGCCAACGGCGCCGGTCGGGCGACCGCGACTCTCCTCTGGGCCCTTCCCCCCACCGCTGCTGCGTGTGCGGTGAGCATGATCCTCCCTTCCGGCGCCCCTCCCAGTGCCGCTGCGTCTCTGGCGAGCGATGCTCCCCGCCACGGCTTCCTCCATGTGCCTGGGGTCGAGCCGTTGAGCGGACCATATTCTCCTCCACTCCTCTCCGCCTTCCTTCCGCGTCCCCGTACCGCTCGGCCCTCGGCGGCGGTTCTCTTGACAAGTGCGAGATTCCGTCCCTCGGCTCCGCCCGCTGTTGCTAGACTCCCGTCGTGCGCCTGTACTCCGCCTCGCTTTGTCCGCGCATTCCCTGCGGCTGCGCCGTGTGTGCCTCTCCATCACGAGTCCGGACTTCCTGCTGCAGCGCATCGCGGGCGTACTGCCATTCCAGACGGTTGGGGTCCGTGGCACGTGACCCCTCCTCCCGCGCCTCTCCCTCTTCCTCCTCCGCTGTCACCACGGTGTCGGCGTGTTCCGCGCTGGGCGCGCGCTCTCCCTCTTCGGCTCCGCTCGGGACATGGGGTCTCGCGCGCGTCTGCTCATCGCCCTCCTGCTGTGGGTCGCCGTGCTCCTACTCCTTGCCGTGCTCCTGTTTGTCACCGTACCCCTGCTCGTCACCGTGCTCCCGCTCGTTGCCGTACCCTTGCCCGTCGTCGTACGCCGGCTCGTCGCCGTACTCCTGCTTAGCCTCCTCATTCCCCACCTCCTCCTCGTCACTCTCCTCCCGTGTCCGCTCGGCCCACGGATCCTGTTCGGCCTGGCGGACGCCCGAGCCTTCTCCTCGCTCCCACGGGAGTCCCTCCCTCCCACGCCAGCGACCTCGCTCATCACGACGCCGGCCTCCCCCTTCAGGGGAGCGGAACACCCCTTCGTCGCGCGGGTGGCGGTGCTCGTTGCCGCGCAGGTGAAACCTGTTTCTCTGCCATGGCGCGCCGCTCGTCGATGTATCGAGTCTGCCGCCACCAGGTACGCCCTGCGCCGCCTCTCTCTCTCGGCTGGCTGGCACGACGGGAACTCTATCTGCACGGAAGGCCGGCCTTCGGGGCAATCTCTGTAGGGAACGCCCACGCTCCTGCGAGCGCTCATGCCGCGGCCCTTCCTCCTCTCGACGGGTGAAGACCCAGCCCCATCGCAACTCATGCTTATCCATGCTACCTGACCAACTCGATGCTTGTTTCGTATTCTGAAAAAGATCCCTCCCTCACCCCACTGGTTCACTCTTGGTGGCGTACCACTGTATGCTAAGAGCAGAAAAGTGCTAACTTCCACTGATATGAGAGAATAATAAGAAACAAGCATCGAGTGGGTGAATGTGAGTGACCTAACCCATCCTCACCCCAGGCTGCACATTCCCCATGCGCGGCTCGAGGTGAGGATTTGGTTTCCCATTTTGCCCCTCGGTGCTTTCCCTCGTAATTCCAACCGTCTCCTTTGTGCTTTCCCCCCTCTTTTGACTATTGCAACCGTTACTGTACTACATTCCGCGCCCCATGCTAGTGCGGCCATATATGCATTAAGTGCATATATCCTAATATACTATTCTGCCTCCTACACCTTTGTTCTACTGTTATTGTATCTACATAAATTGCATATGCGGCGACGCCGTGTCCTCTACGAGAGTGACCTCCACGCCCACACCCCCTGCACCCCTTGAGCCGACACCACCAGCTTCTGCAGCCCCACTACCCTCACCCTCCGCAACTGCACCTCCCGCACCCCCAGACATGACAGGGACTAGACGGTGCGGGGGGGACGACTGCGGAGTGACATGCGACACACCTGATGGGGCAGGACACGAAGAGGGGGGCTCAAGGAGGGGGGAAAGACCTCAGTACATTGGTGGGGGTGACTCCTATAGTAACAGACAGACTCGTCGAACATAACGTCCTGAAAAGCGAAGAACCCTCAGGTGACCAGGACATAGAACAACCAGCCAGAGGTGTCGACAGGGGAGCCAAGAAAGACGAAGGCACAAGTGCGTGGAGACAACTTGTTCGCGCCAGGGGCGTGAACGTGAGCCAGGGAACCCCGAACGCGGAAGTCAGCTGCTACGCCTCGAGAACCTGTCCAAAGGTAGACCGGTGTCACCATGTGGCTGTGCGTCACTAGGCCACAGGTTCAGCTGGTGCGCTGCATAGCGGACTCCTTGAGGCCACAAGAACTGAGGGGCACTGGCATGATACATGAAGGTCCGGGCAACTTCCATGACCAGGCCGATGTGTCGCTCGGCTACCCCGCTCTGCTGCGGCGAGTCTAATAGCGTGTAAAACTGGATGATCCCCCGACCCGGACAGAACGCCTCTAGGCGAGTGGAAGAAAACTCACCACCAGGGTCTGAGTGTAGGCGGAACCCTCACTGACCCTAGGCGCCACCCCTCACTAGTAGCCACGGCTTGAGGATGGTAGGCACGCCGGCCTTCCGTCGCAAGGGGAAAACTGTGGTGTAGAGGGAGTAGTCGTCCACCACAATCAGGAAGTAGCGCTCCTAACGTGGGCCAATGGCCGGAGAGGGGCCCCAGACGTCCAAGTGCAAGGTCTGGAAGGGAGCCGAGGTGGGGGGGGGGATGAGGAGGAGTGACGGGAGAGCGCTGCCGACCCTCGACGCAAGGGGTGCACGGCAGCGCAGGCGAGCAAGGAAGCGGGGCAAGCGACTCTGGGAGACCTGAGACCAGACGGTGACGTACCATCCTATTGAGACGTGGGAACCACGGATGACCTAGACGGTGGTGCCAGAGGACCGACGGGTGGGTGAGTGACCGACAGTTGCATGACACAGCAGCAACTTGACCTGACCTTACCTGACCTTACCTGGCCTAGTGTGGTGGAACCCAGTGTGTAGTGAGTACAGACCAAAGCCCGCCTCTCTGTGAAATGTGGCCAGAGGCGCCCTAGTGGCCTGACTGTGCAAGAGGCAACAGGCTTGTCCAATGGGAAAGTAATGACTACGCCTAGGTCGTGGAGGTGACTGACACTCACAAGGTTCCTGGAGAACCTGGGGGTGTAGCAACCTGTGAAAAACCCAGAGGAAGCAGCCGGACACGGGAGAGTGGTGGTGCTGTTGACAACTACAGGTCCCACGGAGGGGTCAGCCAAGGTGACAGTGACTGGAGTGCGCAGTGGTGTGAGGTCAGTACAGTCGCGAAAGAAGCGGCTCGACGCTCCAAAGTCTAGGGCAAAGGAAAGCTGTGCAGTTTGTGAGGTCGCACCCGAGTCAGCGACAAAGGCTGGTGCTAGACTAGTGGTAGCTGCAGCTCCTACACAAAGAGGCCCAGAGGCGGCTGGGCTGTAGACAACACACACACCAAGACTGGAAACACAGGTCTCTACCAGGTAGGTGAGACTCAACTGGTGTAGCTATACACTGGCAAAGCCGGGAGGGCCAGTGCGGTATAATAGCATGAGGACCAAAACGCTCACGGTGGAGGTCGTCGAGGCAATGGTAGTAGTGGGACGCAGAGTGGTCAGGACTCCAGCAGGTAGTGCTAGCACTAGGGCCTGTCAGGGTTGGGTACCCGCAGGGGCCGACGTCTTGCCCATTGCTAGCTGAGCCACTGCTGGGGGCGCTACACTTTGGACCTGCAGGTCCCCACTGCCGGGAGTGCTGCTACTAGCCCTGCTGCTGTAGAACCCTGGTAAACGTCACGTGAGGAGCTAGAAATGGGGGGGGGGTGTTTACAGGTGGGCCTAAGCTGCTGCTGGTGCTGCTAGCAGTAGCCTAAGCTGCTGCTGGTTCTGCTGTTGGTAGCCTAAGTTGCTGTAGGTTCTGCTGGTGGCAGCCTAAGCTGATGCTGGTTCTGCTGGTGGCAGCCTAAGCTGCTGCTGGTTCTGTTGGTGGCAGCCTAAGCTGCTGCTGCTTTTACTGGGGGCAGACTAAGCGGCTACTGGTTCTGCTGGTGGCAGCCTAAGCTGCTACTGGTTCTACTGGTGGTAGCCTATGCTGCTGGTGGTAGCCTATGCTGCTGCTAGGTTTATAGGGGGCAGCCTAAGCTGCTGCTGGTTCTGCTGGTGGCAGCCTAAGCTGCTGCTGGTTTTACTGGGGGCAGCCTAAGCTGCAATGGTGAGGAGTGGGACTGCAGTATAGAAGTGGGTGTATGTGGAACAGGCGCCAGTGGTGAGGAAGATGGCTAAGCATCACGCGTGGAAGCTGCAGGCGGAGTTCCCAGAGTTCCTGAGTGCGGGGGTGATCTGTGAAGCCATGAAGAGAGACAGTCATGATGTGGCTCAGCTGACAGAGGTGGAGGTGGCCAGCTGGGGGCAGGTGGATCTGCTGGTGGCTGGATGGGAGTGCCAAGGGGTGTCATGGGCGGGCAAGGGGAGGGGAAAGGGGGACCCGAGGACACAGCTGATGGAGGACCTCTTCCGCATCCTGGAATGGCTGCAAAAGAGGCAGGGTAGGGTGGCATACCTGGTGGAAAACCTGGACTTAAAAGGGGACAGCAGGGAGCCAATACGGCTGGTACGGGAGAGGATCAAGGAGCAATTGGGAGAAGGGGTGAGCAGTGATGCGGCCAGAATGGGGTCACTTGCTCACCGATTGAGAATGTATTGGCAGAACATAGTCCTAGCACCGAAGCTGCAGGAAGAGATAGAGGGGGTGAGAAGGGCACAAGGAAGAAAAGTACAGGACATCCTTGAGCCAGGACGGACCCCAGCGCCGGTGCATCGGAAGGGGTATACCAGACATTATCTCTGCAATCAGGTGGGACAGGCGCGGCGGGCGCTGCCCACTCTGGTTACATATGCAAGAGCACTAGGATATGCGTGGGCAGCAGGGGAACCGGGTCCAGAACTCATATATGATCACAAGAAGAAGCGGTGGGAGGAGCCGACTGCACTGGAGCGGGAGCTGGCCTTGGGATATCGGGAGAATGCAACGGCGGCTCCTGGGGGGAGCGAGGCCGACAGGAGGAGGGCCCAGGGGAACGCCATGGACGGCAATGTGATTGTGAGAGTACGACGGCTTATGCCAGCTATGCTTGCTTGCCTTTACTTTATTATGCTATTTCTAGCATAGGATAATTATATGCATGCATGAATTGCTTGATTTCCTAGGCTAGGTGCTTTCCTATATTTTATTATAGTTATAGCACCGAGCTAGGTTGCGTACACCGAATTCTGGCTTTTGGGTTGCCACCGAATTGCCTTCTACCGAATTCGGGAAGGATCTGTTCGGGACGCTTCGCGACCCGCGGAACCTTCGCGTAACACCTGGTTACGGGGCCTTGTGTCGAGCCTATATATAGCCTCGTGCTGTACCCAGGTGATCATTCAATTCACATTCTCTTTTCTGAGCTCGATCCTAGATCCCACACTTGGTCAGCAGAGCCTGTTTAGACGCGAAGATTTTCGACCGCTAAAAACTAGATTTTAAAACCACGAGGGCGACGACGAAAAGCGCCGATTTCGGGTACGTAA